TTTTCCGAATGTGAAAAATAACTTCGATCATATATTGAATTCTTTTATCTATATCCGAATCACTTAGAATACTTCGTAACCGATCAAAAATCGCTGAAAACTTCATCTCATAAAAAAACTGCAAAAAATATATAGGAACTCAAGAAACCTCTATATTCAATTGCAATCACAATGCTTAAATTATAAGCGGCAATATTCGTGAACAAAACTTACCATTTAAGCCACGAGGTGAAATTTCTGATAGTTTAGCACCACATTCTTTCAAGAATGCCACCGTGACCTCCACAGAATCATCGGTTGGATTTTCAAGCATCAATATCATCATTTCCAATGCAAGGATTTCGTGAATCTGTAATCAGACATCTCTTCAGGAAGAAATATAAAAGGTCAGAGAGATACAATTACTAGATGCAAATTAATGCATGATTCGTAACTATTAGTAAGAATGAAAGAAATACTGATCTATAGATAGAATAAATTATGTAAGCCAATACGACTGATATTTACTGACACAACTACCGCTAACGATTTTCGCGTTAGATAGTCAAAGTGATTGATAAAAATAAGGCAGAAAAAGAATATGCACCACTTGCTGGTTGATAAGATGAGCAATAAATTTGGATATTGTAACAGTAGAAATTTTGTCATTTCGTTTATAACACCGTTTAAATTGTATCAGCAGCCGATGAATGATCAACATTCCAATATTTGGGAAATGACTGTTAATAACAGCAACTAATGCTGCATATACATTAGAAAATGTTGGTGAATAAGACTGTGCTTGAATTATTGATCGTGCTAACAGACCTCTGAAAATACTTATGCCTTTAAGCAAAATGAAAATACTTAATATAGTATTCTAAAATTAATTTAAGGAGTTTACACAGTTGTTTAATTACGTCAAAATTAATATAGTTATGGTAAAAATAAATTAAAACTGAAAATCTCGCCATCAAATCTAGTAATCAGTTCTATATACATAAATTTTATAACTTAATTTTGACTTTGAGAAAGATACAAAAAAATATGTAAAAAAGACTAAAACTTCAAAAAAAAAACCTTTTACCTTCCTCGGATAATGTTTTCACGCAATAAATCTCGCACGACATTAAGCAAATTACTGGTATTCGCTTTGTTCACCTAAAAAAATGCTAGGAGTAAAAAGCGAAAACATTACAACAACTATTATATGTGAATTTATGAAAAAAAACCCACCTGCCCATGAATCCGCTTCTTTAAGCGTTCCCAATCCAGTCTTTGATAAAATTCACTGTTCTTATCACTGATCTGCTCTTGCATCATTTTAAGTTTAGCAGGTGGGATATATGCACCACCTGTGCGAGTATGTAACATATCCATATCTTTTTTTGATTTCTGCGTCTTCTGTTGTTCTGATGACATGTTTGATTCCTGAAACACATCCCTTTCAATTCTTTATAACTCACACGTATGACAACGCAACGTAATGAACAAAAATAGAAAAAATCATCATTAATATCCACATCTTCGCTAATGATGAATCATATTTAGAGTTTGGCTAATGAACAAAGTCAAAGCAGTGCCTTACCGTTATTTGTTACAGTTCTTCTTTACCCATGTCATTCATTTTGATACGCAAACAAAACATTTGTGGTGAAAAAATATTCAACAGAAAAAATCAGTAAAGAAACGAATGTGCCTATGTGCTCAACTCAACACTTCCCTAACATGATAATTCATCAATTCATAGTTCTTATACATATTTCTAAATAAACCCTAATTTCTATGTTACATTATAAATCTTCAATATGTTTATATAAACAGCAAGTTCAGACTATCACTCAAGTTAACACCCTAACATCCACGATTGTAGCTCAGGCTTACAAGTTTTCACACCCACTTGCTTGTCTCTTACTCGATTAAAAGGGAAGAGTTAGTCTTGCGATGTATCGATTGCTATTTTTCTCTGTCCATTTTTCTCCATTGTCTTACTTGAATTCAAGTTAGACTTGTACTACTAAACCGTAACCTTTCAACTGACCACTTGAGACTGATCTCCTCTTTACTATTCGTATAATGCTGTTCCGATCGGAAGTACAATTATAGGATGCCTGCATGACCTAAAGACGCTACAAATGCCTCAACAAGGTCAGTGTAAGCCGAATCTCAAACACACCACCTACTTTGACAGAGCGTGCCGCTAAATAGAGGTCGGCCAATTAGGCAATAAATAAAAAGTTCGGAAAATGCGATGGGTTGAGTGGGCAACGGTCAAGTGGCTATAGGGGAGCTGTTATCTTTTCGATGGTCAAAATAGTGTATCAAATTGACATTTATTATCGCAGTATACTTATCATTTAACGGTTTACTCAACTTAATCGTAATTTGTGTCACATTTGTAACTTTATTTTAAATTACGATATGTCACATACACAATTATTAGCCCCTAACTATAATTGTTTTACAGCTTGAAATTACTTGAGTGATTTTTAAACGTCAATGAAGAAGAATAAAAAACGGGTAAGTTGTAAGAACATGTTTTGAAGTTTACTGAACAACTTTTATATTGTTACAATTACAACTTTCACATTGTTACTGTATTGTTTCTACCAGTTGAACTCATTTTTCTCTTCGCAGCATGGAAAAAAATCCTCCTCATCTCGAAAGAAAAAAGCTCGAACACAGACTTCAAGTAGTCTCTCCAGTGAAGCCACAAGTTGCATCGTTCTAAGCTCCAGTAAGCAACATAACCGTCGTAGCAGCACGGTATCCTCGGTCTCTTCTCCATCCATTTCGAGGTTTTGAATTGATTCTTCAGTTTCCTTGGTTTTTCCACTATTCCCTAATATGTCAGCTGTTTTAGGTCTTCATCTATAAGAAAGAAATCAATTCGGAGTGATTTTTCATCGCCTCTCGAATTACATTCTGAAGGTATCTAATTTTTCTTTTGTAACTCTTTAAAAGTGTCATTTTGTACGGTATTTGTGGAGTATTTAGCAAGATTCATTGTTTTAATCGTGTTTGTGATGATGAAAACTTTTTTTACATATATGAGTTTGGATTTTGGAAAAAGATTAAAAAAAGATATATGCTCATACATCTTTCATACTGTACTAATACGCTTCTTTTTAAATCATCACATGGTATTATGGTAGGTAGCATGCCTAAATCTTGTAGTTTGAAGTATTTGGCATTGATTTATATATAAATTACGTACGACGAGATAGTTATTGAAAAATTTAATTTATGTGTCTACTAATATAATAAGCTAGGTAGATTATAAACGTGCTATCTAATTTCAAATAGGTCTTTTAGAGGAGTTGAGGTCGATTGCATTTTACATTGACAATCG